ATTTAGTGCATCATAAATATATAGTGTTTTCTTCATCTTTCCATTTCTATTTTTGTTCAGACTGACATGCTCTACTTATTTTATGACTTAAAGTTTACTTTCTTTGCTGTGTTTAACACATTGTTTGAATTTCATTTATCTCCTTTGTTTTCTTGTCTTCTATAGAATTAAATATTGACTAACAACAGCAAATATGTATTGTAGCACAGAATATTTGTGGCCCTCGAATAGGAGCTCCCAGTTAGTTTAGATGATCCTGCACCAGAGAAATATAGTTTCTGCTCTTTGCTTACCACGGTCCTCCATAGCTTGAGGAATGAACCTTTCTGATTTTGGCTGACCTGGGTTTTAATCCTTACAGGGTCAAGGTGTCAAAAGAAATTTTTTACATAAAACTCTTATCTCCTGGTCTTTGCAAAAGATATGGGAAGTAGTTGGTAGATGCTAAACATGTTTGGAGATAGGAACTGGACTATCTCTGAAGCATAAAGAGTAGGAAGCATGTGTGAGGTTAGGAAGACCTACAGGGTCTCTAATTGGGGGTTTTCTCAACCCCTTGCATGAATAGAATGCTCTCTCCTCTCCTAGTTTTTGTTACCAGGGATGGTATGCTGCTGCTATTGCTGCTGCTTCCTCTTTTTCCTCTCCTCCTGCTCCTCCTCCTCCTTCTTCTTTCTTCTTCTTCTTCTTCTTCTCCTATTTTGAAGCATCCTGAAGGAAGCCAGCAGTATACCCAATTAAATACAGAGACTGCTCCCTCCCACTGGTCCCTCCCTCAACCCATCTCTGGAGCAGTGAAGAAAAACACAACAGCCTACTTGATTGATTTTATTTTCATTTTTTATTGAAAGCTTCATCAAAGAAAACAGAAGTTTAAACCTAACATCCACTGATCTACAGAAAGCCCAAGGAACGGGGGAAATGGTAGCTAATTTGACTGTGGTACAGATGAAAAATTAAAAATAAAACCGGAAACACTATAGAGTTACAGAACTTTCCATGACAGAGACAGCAGTACAAAATGCTCTTAAATAAAGTTCGAATTTGAATGATGTTTCAAAGTTCCATGAAGTCAAATATGGCCTAAAACAAGGGTTTTAAAAGAAGCTGTGTCCCATTTTTTTTTAATTTAAAGAAACTAGAATTTCATAGCAAGTACAATTTTACATTTATTTTTTGAAAATTAAGATTCCAATTATACCAATTATATTCCTCTTCTTTTTAAATAAATAGAAGCATTAATTTCCAGAATGGAGAAAACTTTTTCAAGTGTCTCTTTGAAATAGTTTTTATAGTGCCTGAAAAGTATGAAATAACTCATTTTTTCATATATGAGGAAATAACATATTTTGGGGAGGAGGACAGAGCATCTTTCATAAGAATCTAAGACCAGAGGGTTTAAAACACAAAGCATAACACTAAAGTTACACTTTGGACACTACTTAAATTTGAAATGATCAGAAAAAATCCACTGGAGTGTCAAGGTCATTCACCCTTATTACTGTGATGCAAAATTAAAAAAAATAAATAAATAACAAAACAATGCATTTTTTTTTGCCAAAGATTTAAGATAGGGATAAGAATATATATTTAACCAAGAGATGTTATTATATTCTCATAACTCAATTTTGAGTTGACCTTTTCTTCTGGTTAAAATTTCAATAGTGAACGAAACCAAAAGAGCTTTCTTTTGAGGGAAGCCAAATACTTTGCTACAATTTTTTTTCGGTTTGTATTTGCAAGAATACAGCCAACTCTCAATTATTTGCAGTGAATGGGAAAGGGACATTATGGATAGTAAAAGTCCATGGTATATAATGCACTGACTGTTTTACTAATGATTTTAAACTCCTTCGGTAAATCGAGACTTAACAAAGAAACAGACTGATTTGAATTTGATTTCCAAATGTTTCTTTTTCACCCTCAGGGTTAAATGCTAATAAAAGGAAATAGAGCCCAAGACCTAAGAGTTGAAAAAAGAAGACAAAACAAATCTACCAAGTAAATAGCCCTTCAAAAATTGAGAGTGATTGTATTTCTGCAAGACTCAGTCATTGGGGAAGTTACTAACTGGACTGAATAAAATGGAAGAAAAGTGTGACTCCGTGGCCCAGAGGTTCTTCCCTCAGACTCCAAGCTTGATCTCACCTCTGCTCCAGCTTTAAAGCTTCCTGAGTGGAAGAAGCGTTTCTTAAAATATTATTTTCCCTTTCAGAAATACAAAGAAATGAGTATTGAGAAGCGATCTGTCCTTTTTTCATGTGACAGGGAGCATATGTATTAGGGTATAAAATGAAAGAGAAAAGAAACCACCAATATGGGGTGAGCTTCCCTGCACCGGATGAGAAAAGATCTTTGGGGCCACTCAGGGATCTTATATTTAGCTTTGTATTTTCCTGAATTCTGTGCAGTCCACAAAGGACAGGCATGACCAAGAACACTCAGATTAAGGGACCGATTTCATATTTAAGAATATTGGGTAAGAAATGTTAAATTTGAGTTAGACTCAACTGTCTTCCGATGCCACGGTGGATGTCATTTGTAACAAATTGATTCATTAATGAAATCCCATTATCACTCTGTCACAGGAAGGGGGTAGTATACAGAATCAATGAGCCTGTTTAAATTCTGTCAGTCCCTCAGATTGGAGTGAGATGCTGTCAGTCTCAGTGAGCTCAAAATTTTGAAGGATGCCAGGCACAGTAACACAAAAAACCAAAATCTCATCCTTCACTCCCTACTGTGGACAAGATAACGTGAATCAAGTCTCTATGACATGTTTAAACTTTGTTATGAAGTATGATTCCTCAAATGTGCTCAACGTTGCTTATACACATACATAAATATTCCCCTTCATTAGATTTTATATCATCTAAAAACATTAATCACTGTAACCCACTTAAGAATTTCTCCCTGCTTATCAGCTCATCTGCAGTGGTTCGTGCACGCAAAGTAAGAATGAGACTGAGTTGTCAAATGTATTTTTAGTTTCCTACTAACATTATAATCTGTCTAGACAGTCCACTGAAACTTCGGAATCATGAAGACTGCAAAAGTGCTGCTCAAATCAAATCTCACTCTTCATTAATGGGGATGTCAGGCCACCATAAAAGATACATAGGTATATATTAGACATCGCAAATATTCAAATAATTTTTTTTTAGGAAAAAAAAAGCTATTCTTTTTTTGTCACACATGAATTGAAATGATTTTCACACCGTTTTGCAAGGGGTCGATGTATTCTGCAGGGACAATGACCTTCCTGCTCCATCCAGGCTTTTTCTGCTCTCAGCCTTCCATCTCTAACACGAGTGCTTTTAATACCATGTAGTTTTTCACTGGAATGTGTGGAAGTGAGTCTTATATGCTATCAACTGTGGCAGATCTGTTAAAGTCACAGGAAGAAATTGATTCAAGTGAAGCATGGAGACAACATCTGAATGATTGAAATTTATCAAGGAAACAGCCAAACTGAAGTCAGGGAGAGGATTTTTTGTTGTTGTTTTGTTTTTAAGAATTTTATGTCACTTGCAACAATCAAGGTGTGCCAGTCTTCAAGGACAAACAGTCACCAGCACCTGCTAGCATTACCTTTAGCTTACCTAGGGTCCAAGACATCTTCAGAACACATGACCATGCATTGAGTCACTATGCATAATTTGTCTTCCCTGACAAAACCTTATCATTATTAAAAGAAAACCCACTCCTCCACTGACCATGTAACTAGAGTTTGGAGAAGATAACATTTATCCCATTTGGATTGTGGCTTTGGTTTGTTTCCTGATGTTTAGAAGCCTTGGCAGTTAAAGTCAAAAGGAAAAAATGGAAATATCTGAATAAATATTTGGAAATCTGAGCCAGAATACTTAAAAAAAAAAAGAGCCCTAAATAGGATTAGAATCACCATAATATTAGTTGCTGATTAAATCAGGATTCTGATGTCTGCATATATTGAACACACATTTTGGTTTGTTTTATTCTTCATACAATGTAATGCTGCTTACCTGTTGATGCTTTTTGTTTATTCCCCCAGACTTGACTCTTAAAAACAATCATTAGGTAAGATGACAGATGCAAATTTGAACATGTGTCATTTTTCCTTCTTTTTTTTTTTCTTTTTGGTTTGAAATAAGATATTTTCTAGAATGGCATGATATAAAAAATCCAAACACAAAACACACGTGGACACATAAAATGACAGGTAATTTCCTTGTGCCTGAAGTGGCTTAAAAAAATTGAGATCATTGAAATTTCATAGTTGAAAAAAATGTTTCTGAATGTATAAATAAAGCAGTAGTTTTGAATAGAAACAGGAAGTTACCTAGGCACATTCATCAGCCACATGGTAGCTACCTCTTAGCCTCATTGTTGATTGCGTAAATGAGACTTTCTTTGTATCACATTAAGGTTTTTTTTGTGTGTGTTTTTTTTTTTACAGAAACAAAAGAAAGTATGTTGGTTTCATATTCAAATGAATTATGCCCAGGATAATCCTTATTTATACAAAGAGTTCAGAGACTGAAAAAGAGAAACGAAAAGCACAGTTCCTATACATGTTCCTTAAACCCCCTGAAACTCAGGGGCCTGCTTCTCAAAGATAAAACTTAAGTGCCACCCGTGAAATACATGAGAAGCTTGAAGGACGGAACAGAAGAAAGTACACATCTAGGATTCTCTCTAGAGCATGGAAAACCATTAAGGATGGGTGTCAACAGATGGAATTTCTCTGTAGCAGCACATGCTACATTTTCTTGGATCCATTTGTGCCTCTGATTTGGCTGCAAAGATAGGGAGCCACTTTCTAGACTTGAGTTTCCAATTCATGGGGTTTCAAATAAGAGAACCGGGCTCACTTCTGTTAACAGGTCACAAATCGTTGAATATTGACAATTTCAGAACAGCCAAACTCATTACTGATATTGACCTAATGGGATTATGATTTGCCTTTTAAGTTTTTTTAGTTTTTAAAAGCCTACCATTTTTTTTTTTTTTTTTTTTACAGTGCACTTAATGCATTTCCCTCTTCCTTCTGGACTAAGACAGGTTCCCCCGACTTAGTTTGTGAAAAGACTTTCACCTATCTAATTCCAATGATCCCTTCAGAAAGCAACTCTGTGCATAATTCAACCAAGTTCCATCGGTCTTAGTTTCAGGTAAAACTATACAGGTTGAACATGGATTCCATGAGTCAAATACACAGAGATGTTTGTTAAGTCAATCTAATTCATTTTAGACAAAGTTTTGCATCATTCTCAATGCAAATATATCTCCTTTGGCTTAAAGATTGAGCAAACCTAATTCTTTTGGTTCTTATCAATATAAATCATATAATTTCTTGATTGTCAACTAGCATTTTAAAAGCTTACCTAACTTCCACTAACAGAATCTTCAATCTGATTGGTCCTACTTGTCTCAGAGTTAAACTGAAACAAAAAGGTCTATTTTTGTCCTTCTTCCGACAACACCAGGGTATGAGAATACAATGACAGGAGGCAAAAGGTGGCTGTTCATGGCAGATGAACAAAGACTGAGGTGAGAAGACAAAACCTAGAGGCGTTGGACTTGAGAAGGAAGACTATTGTTACAAATACAATGAGACCTTTTCAGGAGACCACTCATCACTTAACAGAATATCTAAGCCTTTTTTTGACAAGTGACCTTTCAGACCAGTTCGGGAAGGACCTTTAGTTCAAAGTTCACAGAAAGGAATTTCAACCTGTTAAGCAAGTGTCTCAACTTATTGGTGGCCATCAATACAGGTGTCACTATTCAAGAGAGCTAGTAAGGAACCAGAAAAGCTCACGGAATGAATATAAAGCCGTTTGGCTCTGTCAGTTGGTATCCAGAACTCTTCATGCTGAAACTGCTGAACACAGCAGGTGCGAGCTATCAACAAATGCACATTAGCAAGAAAACAAAAACAGAAACAGAAACAAAAACAAAAAAAAAAACACCTTTTGTTTTGCTCTGTTTTGCAGTATATAAAACACCAGTGGAAGGTAGTTTAAACAAACAACAAAGTAAGAACTGGTCCGGCCATGTAGGTCAAATAAAATTCTTAAAAAGAAAGGAGAAGAAAAGGAAAACAACCTCTATCTTCTGGACTGCAATAGGGTGCCACTTCATCTTTGGTATAAAATAGGCCATCCATAGGCTGAATTTGATCACAACTAGGAAAGACTACAGAAATTGTCAACAATTTCTCTATCTATTGCTTTTTTTTTTTTTGCACTTTTTGACCATAAGCTCCTATCTACTTAAGTTTTTTTTTTTAATGCTCTTAAGCTAGGTTTTGCAATGTGACAAGCAAAGCTGACTAAAAACTTTGTAAAGCTCATAAAAAAGACTGCAGATAAAAAGCACTAATGCTTTTGCTAGCGATCACGCTTCGTAAATAAAAAAAATCTGCATTCTGCCCCCAAACACGCATTATTTCTAATGCAGTTGTTTTTAAACCAACATTAATAACTTTACCGTAAAATGTTTTAGCCTTCTAGAATGATTCAACACTTAAGACAAAGTTCATGAAAAGTCCCAGCATTTTCCCAATTCTTGCAGTTGCCATGGTTTCTTTTATCAACAAATTTTCTTCAAATGAAGAAAAAACATTTTCTTTTAAACTGTACAGTTTTTTTTTTCACCCTAAAAACTCATAGTCTTAAACTTCTGTACCAGTTAAAGCCGGCACAATATTTCAATTCTTTCTTGAATTTTTTTTAACAAGACGTTGACAGCTTGCCTCGAGAGCCTTTGACGTCCTTAAAATTAAGGCAATTAAGATTCAAGATAAACCTTACCTAAGTATTTCTAAGAAAAAAATAAAATAAAAAACAACCCACTAGATTTAAACAAAGGGGGGAAAAGAAAGAGTAGCTTAATTACTGAGGAAGACAATTTGTTTCCATTTCTGCTTTGCCCACCTCTTGACATCTGATTTTCTGTTAAAAAAAAAAAAAAAAATCTGTCTACATCTTCTGGTAAATTCTGAATTCAAATGTTCTTCCAAATATAATGTCAACTTTCTGTGTTTTGTTTTGTTGTTGGTTTTTGTTTGTTTGTTTCCTCTTCTGGGATTTTTTCTTTAAAAAAAAACGATGGTGAAAGTAAACTGTCAGACCACATGAAGGAACCATTTGCACAGCACATAAAAACACTTTGTTTTCACTGGGTATAGTAGAAAATTAAAAAAAAAAAAAAAAGCATTCCATCGACGCCTGTGCAAACTGGAAGCCAACTTCCTGTTCAATGAAGTTTCTTCGTTCAAGGCAAAGTTTCAGACGGACATTCTTCAGTCTTGTTTATGGTCTGTGGAAACAATCAAGTATGAGTGGTCATTATATCAAAGCAACTTTGAAATCACCTCATATGCTCTCTTCCAGTGAGGTCTCTTTAAAAGATACCAAGCTCTTTCAATATCTAGAAAATTGTACAAGTTTTAAATCCTGTCACTTTCATACAATTATATATTTGAGCCAGAGAGTTTGTTCTCATTGAGTATCAAGGCTAATAGAACAAGAATATTTTTTGGTCTAAAGTAATAAATACTACAACATATTTGAGCCGGAGAGTTTGTTCACATTAAAGGTCAAGGCTAATAGATCAAGGATATCTTTCAATTTAAAGTAGTAAATATGACAAAAATACCCAGACAAGTAATACTCCCTATGTGCATGGAACCTATTTTTCAATGTCTGGCTTATGTTTTAGGTACCCCCAGAAATTCTGTCCTTTCAAAACTCCTGTGGGATTCATCACTAATTCAGTCAACAAATGTGCCCATCCCTACTATGTACCCAAGATACAGCAATGGTTGGTGTGTTACCCTGTGGTATTCACCAAGTATAATCACATAAGCCTTATTTGGCCCAATAAAGTAGTAAGAGAGTTAAGAGGGAATGGGTTTTGTTCACTTTCCCTCATCCCCTCTTCTTCCTTATTTACCCATCTCATCAAGATTTTTAATTCTTGAGAACAGGCACTATATTCTACTACTTTTTACTCTCCATGAATCTGGCAGATGGTATGCACGTAATAGGTGTTTCACTAGACAAATGCAGACAAATGACATTTTTAGTTATGCCACTTGGCCTAGCCTAGCCCAAATAATGTCTTCTCCTTCTGCCCCATCTACAATTGCTGGACTGAGCTTCTAGTGGGTTGACTTCCATGCTTAGCTCTTCCATCCACAGACTAGAATTTTGTTAAATAATTTCAGGGATGTGCTATAAAAACCGATTTTTGAAACTACAGGTCAATTTATTTATTTTAAAAGATTTTATTTATTTGAAAAGTAGGGGGAGCAGCAGGCAGAGGGATAAGCAGGCTCCCCACTGAGCAAGGAGCCAGACCCGGGACTTGACGCCAGGACCCTGGGATCATGACCTCAGCCGAAGGCAGACGCTTAACCAACTGAGCCACCCAGGCGCCCCTACAGGTCAGTTTAGATGAAGCTCACTTCTCTCAGTGCTTTGCAGGTTCTTCTGACGCCCAGTTGCTTAATTTACTAAAGAGGACTCAGGGTTGCTGAGGTTGTACAGGTTGTTCACTGCACAAGATGCATGACTGAGTTTGTGGGGGCTAAATTCTCACCCAAAGTCTGGTGCAGGGCTGCATCTGCTCTGAGCAAGTGGGCTTTATTCAAATTTACAAAATGCCCTTAAGGATGTTTTAAGGTATATAACAGGTAGGCTGGGATGATCCAGAGAAGTTCTTTTTCCTAATTTGGAAACAGCACTCATACGAATTCACTATGTCTCTGAGAAGCCTGATAAACTTGTTCTTAGAATCATGTAAGAAAAGCAACTAGTTGATAGTTGATATTTCCATTTTTAACCAATAGTTTAAGTTTCTAGGAATACATAGTTTGTGTGTGTTATGTGAAAAAGTGGGGCTTCTTTTAAGAAGAGATGCAATTAAAAATTTCATACCATCAGCAACAATTAGGGAAACTTTATTAGTAGTAGTCATGGGAACCATGGTATATATGTGATCTCTATTCCTTTGCAAAATACAGATTTACTCCATGAATTTCTTAAAAATCGCCCTTGTTGTGGGAACAAAACTTTTCTCTTTGTTCGGTTTTGTGTTTTTGTTTTTTGATCTGTTCTTTGCTCCCACTCCCATCTTCCACCTGGTCTTGTTATTCATTTAGCAGAAAATGCCTAATACACCGTGAATCTCTGGAACAGCTGCTCCATGAACGGTGTCTTAGTCAATGGGCTACCCTGACATACAACACCCACACTGCTCAGGTATGTCACATGCACTGGTCTTGAGGCATCCATATTTATGAGCTAGGCTACAACTACTTTCAAGCTCTAACCTTACCAAATGTTTCCAATGGCCCTCTCCCAACAAGTGGTCTCATTGTTACATGACAACAAGTGGGGAGCAATGAATGGCTGTCCTTTGCCTTTTCTTGGTTGCTAGCTGAAGTTGGAAGGGACAAGGTGTTGCTATTTAATAGAACTGAATTCACTCCTATCCACCTTCTCTGTCCTAGATGAGATGTGAAAGTGCACATTTACATAATGCTTCTGTATTGCCCTGAAACTTCTCATCCTCCCCTCCAGTCCCCAAAGAAAGCAGAGTGGATAGATTAGGAAGTAGCAAACCACAGGCTTAGAATTCCAGACTTTTAGAAGTGGAAAGACATCTTTGGAATCATCTAAGGATGCAATGTCCCCCAGTGTCATTCCTGACAGATTAGCTTCATGTGATGCCGTGTGAAAAGAGGGATTCTGTGGTCCAGAGTTTGGGGGAAACTGCACATTATGCTCCCACTCCTGCACTACCCATAGGTAAACTAAACATATAGGAAGGGCACCAACCAAGAAGGGTATCAATATAAAAACAAACTTATTTAAAGAACGTAATCTTTTCAATTAGTATCAAAATAATTATCCTGTTGACAGTGAACATTTTGTTACAGTTCTTTAGTAATTTAATATGTTTGAAAAAACTCTCAGAATTCCCAAGTAGGAAGTCCAGCCTACAGGACATGCTAATCTTTCAGGAAGTGAAATGTTTGATTTATCTGGCTTTCTAGGAGGTCCGGCCATTAGCATTTTAATAGCTTTGAAGAGAACTGCAATTAAGAAAGCATTTCACTTAGGTTAGAGGGTGTTTGCCTAAACTCCTTGGGACCCCCAATCCTCCACCTCAACTCCAGGGAATGGTGGTAAATCCTCCCTCAGCACTAAAACCGAGTTTACACTCTTGGGAGAACACTGATCTAATCTCTTGCTCTAAAGAAGAGGAAAAGGAGGCTCCAAAGGGCTGAGTGACAACTAGTAGGTGGCAATCAGAATTTAACTTTGCTTGAAGACTTGTACTTTTCAAGCCCTTGTCATTTTTAAGATTTTTACGATTTCTTAAATAGCACAAAGAAAAACTGCTAACTTGGGCAGGAACTGGAATTTCCACAGAACTTCTCAAAACAAACCACAGGTATCCTATCTGTCTTTGCAGATAAGAGCGCCGAAATTCCCTTTTGCATGAGTAGCCTCTTTTAACGAGGAAAAAAAAATCATGAATACAAAATGCGAAGACCTGTTTTTTAGCTTGGAAAGTGGCATTTGGAATAGTAAAATATTTGCTGCTATAGATCCCAAATATAACCTTTCGATTCATATATGCACATCATTTCTACTTCTCAAACTTTGATCCTGCAACGTTCTGTTGTGATGTCTGTGATTTTCTTCAAAATATCTTTAGTATAGACATTATGGTGCTAAATCTAAGTGTGACGGGTTAAGCTCCTTTTCCAGGGCACTCAGCTACCCTCGTCCAAATTTCACGCCCCACAGGAGGTCAGCTACCATTTAATGAGAAAGGCCAGAGGTTTGCACAAGTACTTTAAATTGTCCGTATCTCAATTAGCATAATGATCATCAGAAACGGGTTGCCTAAAGAAAGTAGTGGCATGGTAATTAGCATAATGATGCTGGACATCAGCTGCCATTTGTGAAATTTGGACTATTCAAGATCACTTGGATAGGCTAAAATATTTTAGAGATCCTCTCCACTGTAGGTGAAAGATACAGTTAGAATGTATGGACATTTGTAGCCTTATAACTTTAGGGATACTTCTTGTGGCTTGATCTCAAAACAATTTATTAATTTATTTGTGCCTGCTTTCTTATGAATGCTTCCCTGACAAATGTCTCTGTGGGAACTCTTGCGTCCCTCAAACTTTTCCCAGGGATGGTTATATAAGAACCCAGGTGTCTACATGAACCACATACTTAGCTCAGTTCCCAGGGTCTTCTTAAATGGTTCTGTAGACTCTCATGCCTTAACATGACACAGATCAGCTGCCCTTGGCTGAAACTGATAAAACCTTGGATAAAGCCACACTCATTTCTTCCTTTTAGAAAATTTCAGAATAGATTGTTATCCATCAGTGTATTTGACCTAGAATACTATTTTTGTTTTCATGCAATATATTATTGTTCTCTTTTCAAGTCAAAAAAGCTCCCGGCACATAGGGACAACATGTCAGAGAGAGTAAGTTGAGAATATAAACAGGACCTGTTAACAATTTTCTCCAGATTTGAAGAAGTGTACACGAGGCCATGCAAGTGGTGTTCACATGGCACACGTTTGAAATGTCCCATGTTCCAGTGTGCTTTCATCTCTGGCATGTTGCCACAAACTGGCCCTGTGGAACATCCTGTAACATACATTCCTGAAGAAGTGCAAAGGAAAATTCCTCCCAATGAGGAAATCCCTCGCCATAATGCTTACCACTGTGGGGACACACGGGAGGGTTTCCTTCTTTGATACCCTATCATCTGTGGAAAGGCCCAAGTTATCAGCCATAGGAATCTGAGGTTCAAGGCACGTAACCATGTGACCACGGTGGTGGTGGTGGGAGGTAGTTTTAAAATGTTTAAACACTTAAAGCTTTCTGTGATCAGACTCAGACTTCCTAGTATAGTTCAAGGAATAAAGCTTCTTTGAATTGACTTATTATAAGGATAATTAAATCCCTTATCTTTCTCTATAGATCAGGCCTTCCTTGGTTTTATCTTATCTGCCCCTGTGAGTAGCATCAATAACTCGGGGGTTCTGTTTGGAATTGTAAAGCCCGTTTTCCTTTTTCCTCTTACTTCAATCTACCCTTCCTGCCCTTACCCCCCACCCTCTACCCCACTGGACTTTCCACCATCTTACTTCCGACCTTTGTTCCCTATTGACTTCTTGCAATCATTGGACTGTTTCCATTGCTTTCAAATCCACTGTTTACCTCAGCTGGAGGAGCATTTGTAGAACAAAGGAAGTGCTGTCCAAGCACCTCACTATGACATCTGAGGTAGATGTTAGAATCTGGGTCCAACCTGCTTTTTTACACTGCTGTGCTATTCTGAATCCCCTTCTCAGAGGAGCAGTCTGAGCTTTCCCACCCCTGGACTTTGGCCAAGCTGTTACTCCCCCTGGAACACTCCTTGACTCTGTGTAAGAGCCAGTTCCAGTTGCCACAACCTCCACCAAAGCTGACCCAGTCGAGAAAAATTAAATGCATTCTCCTATTACTATAGTATTCTTTAAAAGAGCCCTGTCCGTTTTCTCCCTTGCAGTAGACACATCATGTCTATGTGTACGTCCAAGTCCCGTACTAGATTGTAAACTCTGGAGGGCAGGGATCCTGTCTCCCAGCAGAGAAACTGGCCTGATGCTGGATGCTCTCAAGTGTGGAAGTGGGGAGGGAGGCTGTCACTGGAATCTGGGAGAGGCAGACATGTCCTCTACAGGTCAGGCAGGGCATCCTCTTTCCCAGCGCATCATACAATGGTCGTGAAAGGTAGGGACAACCTGAGAAAGAAGAGAGCATCCCATTGTGGGCTCTAAGTGGGGGCAGCTGAAGCTGATTGAATCAGGCAGGGAAAAGAGAATGTTACAGATAGTCGCAAGAAGGGGGACATTTGTATCCTGAAAGCCATTCTTGAAACACATCCTTCCACACCCAGCCTCCACTGGTTAGTGGAGTCCTTAAAATATAACTCAATTGCTGGCATACCTTCCCTTAATGCCTTCCAGAGCTTTAGTGGCTCTCTTCACATAGAACTGAGAATGATTCCTGTATACAAAGCCAAGTATCCAAGGACCAAAGGCTCTATAAAAACTGCCTGTTTGACTCTGTCTCCTACATCCACCCCCCCCCCCCCCCGGCCGACTCTTTCACTACACTCTAGCCAGAGGTCCCCATTCTAGACCTTTGGTCTTCCTGTTTTTTCTGCCTAAATTGGTTTTTTTCTCCAAATCTCTCCAAGATTAGCTTGTAATTATTATCTTTCAGATCCAGGCCTCTGTGAGAGGCCTTGCCTGATACCAAATCTTAGGTATTTATGCTGTCATTTTCTATCACAAGAATCTTTTTTACATATTGGCGTTGGCTTTGCAATTTCGTTTTTTTTTTTTTTTATTGTTTGCTGATTGGTCCACTGACTGTGAGTCTACTCCTAGCAGGAAGTAAACTCCAAGAGAGTAGGAAAGGCGCCTGCCTCCTTCATTGTTCTTTTCCTGGCATCTGGAATTCTGGGGGTCACGTAGTAGGCACTATATCAATAATTGTTGACTGGGGGGATGAAAGCATCTCTTTTATTTATCCAGACATCATTGAACTGTTAGCAAGAAGGGTCTAGGATCACTCACTTCCTCATTATGCTCTGAAACAGCAAAAGCCAGCTTCACCTACTCACCAAGTGGTTCTGGCAAATACAGCAGCTCTCAATTCCCACCCGTGTCTCTCACCGTGCTTCCCACAACCAGTCTCTGCTCCTTTCTCACACATTACCCTCTGAACAGACTGAAAAAATTCCAGTATGCTGGGAACAGAGTACCAGAGACTACCATATTGTTCCGTGTGTGTGAAAGTGATTCACATAGGCTATAGGTGAATTAAAAATACAAACAAGAAACAAAACCAAAAACACAAAATGGTTTATTTTTATGGATCTTTCCTGAAAGCTGTTATGTGAAAGTAATGATAATAATAACACTTTTATTATTATAAAGGTTAAGTCATGTGGTCAGCACATTTAATTTGGAAGACTACCTTTAGAAGCTAAGCTACTTAGAGGAGACTCCATTACCATGATTAATCTTTCAGCAACAAACAAATCTCTAAATATGTATTGAGGTTAAAGAGGAATGATTAAGAAATGGGAGCAACACTCAGCAGACTAGGAAGGATCTCTCCGGAATTCTCTATTCACTGGGGCTTTGATTGCTACCTACAGATTAGAATAGTTTGCAGGACAAGACATCCGTATATAGACTGAATTTTTGTTAATTACTTTGGCTTCAAAACCTCACAAATTTTAGTCTACATAATTACTCAACACAAAGCCAACAGTACTTTATAAGTGATTTAAAGATTTGCAAGAGTAATTCTGATACATGATTGTCGCTTTGTCATTTAATTCCTAAATAAGACTCCACATTGTTTTAGATTTTATAGCACCCTTTTTCATGAATTACTTTACTGGGTGTTCAAGGTATCCCTGCAAAGGGAGTGATACTGTCTTCATTTAGGAATTCATGCAGGCTTACTATCCAGTTTCAAGTGGGAATACTGGAGTTTTTTCCAAAAATATGTATAGTAGTTTTTTTTTTTTTTAATGCCCCCTTCTGTATTTAAGGCTTAAGTGAAATTTTACATTAACTCTGGGCATGGCCATATGACTTGCTTTGGCCTATGGGGCAGTAGTAAATGTGTCCAAATGGACTGAAAAGTGCTTCATTTGGGCTTCTTCTCTTGCTGCTCTCTGAATTCTGAGACTTCCATGTGAATAAGCTGATGCAGGATCAGAAACACATAATCCGATTGCTTCCATCATATTCAACCAACAGACAACTAACACCCAGAAGCAGAGCCGCAAAAATGACCATCAGCTGTCCCCAGGTGCTTGAGCAATTCTAGTCAAGACCAGAAGAACTATCCACCTGAGGTCAGCTTAAGTTGCCGGCCCACGAACTAAATAAATAGACCCATGAACTAAATAAATGCTTGTCACTAAGTTTGGGATGGTCTGTACTGCAGCCAACGCTAACAGATGCAACATGAGAGAATGGTGACAAGATGGTCGATCTTGAGGAAAAGAGCTTAGTGTAGCCCGAACTTACTTAGACTGTTGGTAAGAATATGCAGGTGCATGTTCGTTGGATGTGTCCACTGCTATCTGTTGCTGCTGACCACTGGTGTCCTGGGATGAAGGTGCCACTGTCTGGGGAGAGGTATCAGCAACAACACCCTAAGGAGGCAAATAAGAACACAAAAGCCTTACTGGCTTTAGCAAAGGGCCTTCTTCCAGATGGACTATAGGGAATACCCCTCTTCTTTTTGGCTTGAGTAGAGTTGCACTCGGCCAAATGAAGCTACAGGAAGTACCCCAGGGAAAACCAGACAGCACATTTGGATAAAGGCTGAGGAATTCACTTCAATGTGTCACCAAGAGGCCTTGCCTTCAGAAACCTCTACTGTAGTCGAATGGTCAGAAAATCACTTTCGCCAAACTTAGAACTTTTAAACCATGGTTGCATATAGCCACACTAAATAATAATTTATTAATCAAAAGCTCATGCAGGATTCCTATAAAAACTTGTATATTCAAATATTTCCCTGGGGTAGAGTACCGTGTCGTGTCATGTCTCTTTGACTTGGCAAAACAATGGACCTAAAAAGAAAAGGAAGGAAAGAAAAGAAAAGAATACATAAAAGCTTGGAATTCTTTTAAAGGCATATTGTTAGGTAGGTTTTCCCTTCAGCAATTTGGTTTGTTTGGGTTTGTTTTGTTTTCTACAACATGAACTAGAATTCATTTCGAGGTTTCAGAAAACAGACATCTTTAATCTTGATTTGCTACTTCTCTCACCCTCTCATTTCTCACAGATACCAACAAGGATGCCAACAAGGAGTTGATCATCATTAGGGATAGATGTTTGCTTCTGAGAAAGGCACAGGTGGTTTTATCTGGCAGGTGGGAGGCCTAGAGAAGGTATCTCTCTGAATATGTTCTCTTGGTTTTACTCATAGCCTTGGACTCCTACAGTGATGTCAGGTTTCAAACATTTTGGTCAACTCTCTATCCCTAACTAAACCGTTCTTCAGAATCCAAAAATTCTCCCTATATTCTCCCTAATTCTCCCACCAGCATTTACGTGTGCGGATATTGGTGAATTTTCAATGAGTGTTTTACATAGAAAAGAGATCGGTGCTTTCTCTATACGCACAAATTCAAAGCAATCTATTAAAGTGTACCTCCATTTTTCTTAGTGAAAGACTTTTTATTTATTTATTTACTTTTTGTAATCGTTATGCCCAATGTGGGGCCTGAACTCACGACCCTGAGATCAAGAGCTGCATACTCCACCTACTGAGCCAGCCAGGTGCCCCAACCCAAAGGACTTCTTTTGATCTATAGACTTCTTCTTTAACTATAATTAGACTGTTTCTAATAAGTCACAGTGTCAAATGTGCCCCATTATTTTATAGTCATCAAAACGCTCAAATTCTGTAGGTAAGCATATCCATATGTCAGTATAGACAAAGAAGAATGCAAATATGTGGTAGAGATCTATGCTTAAAGTGCCTAGAATGTCTAGATTCATTAACTGATGATCTAGATGCTTTTTGATGGTCAAATACAGCAACAAACAAACAAACAAAACCAAAAAAAAAAAACACATCTATTTTAAACACATAGTCTTGAAATTCTGAAAAGCCAATTAAAACCTGATTAATACTGACATATTCTCTGGGGCCCACAGGTCTAGAGCACATAAAAGATTTAAAATTGGACCTCCTTGGCTTCCTAAATTACATGATGGTATTCTCTTAAAATTCTGTTTTTCCCAAACCTTGGTACGAGCAAACATCTGGCATATACCAAAACAAACACTGTGTAAGATCCAATTTATTCTGTGAAGATTTCCCCAATCTCTGTAGTTGTAGAGATTGAGCAAGTCATGGTAGCCTTCTATGTGGAGTGGTGCCAGCACCCTAGTTGCTGGCCAACTCATGGACTAGCAATAGCATGGACTCCAGAGGAGTCCCTGCTGTTGGGAAGAAATGCACTGTGACCATAATGGCAAATGCCATCAGGAGAAGGGGAGGAGGGGCAAGAGACAACAATAGCTAGGACTAGACAGAAATATACACATCTAAGTGTTTTACCACTATCTACATAGCTCTATGCTCTCTTCCTTTCTATGTAGCTTGCTGGCTCTGTCCAGTAAAGTAATGTGTACAGGGGATGGGTTCAGCCCAATGGAAAGAGGGAAGGAAAGGAACAAAGTTTCTATTAAAGACAAAATGTCTTCATCATTTGAGGTACCCACAGCCATAAGAGGGTGCAAATAAATCGGAATCTGGGGATGGGACCCAGGCATAAATATTTTTTAAATCTCTCTAAATAATTGCAGAAAATAATATACAGAAAATTTGAGAACCAGTGCACTAATGTGAACATAGATCCCCAAGGGATCTTGTTAAAATGCAAATTCTGACTCAGTAAGTCTGGGTGGTGTCTCAGACTTTGCATTTCTAACAAGCTTCCAGTGATGCTGCTGATGACGCTGGCCCAGGGACACTCTTTTGAGTAACAAGGCACTAGCAAACTCATTTTTGCTGGTTTAGTGGCAAACATTTTTTCCTGCCCTATTAATGAGTATTTGCGGTTAACCTTTAATGGGGTAGTGATCTGGTCTCTGATCTTTTAAGTATTAAAACAATACTCCCCTCTTACCTCTACAGCAAACTGATTTATTTCGTGGGCAAAGCACAACATAGGCATGTTGGTGCACTTTCATATAGTGAACTTGCAATGTCAAATTTTAGAGTGGCACAAAACCACACATAAAGATTGCTTGGGTTATGGGGGCCCACAGTACATGTGGCTGAGATTTGTCATCCCTACCTCTTTCTATAAGACAGGGACAGACTTACTTCAATAGAAACAGCTGTCGGAGGCACAGGCGTGTACTGGGGAAGGTAGGTCCCTTGCATAGGCGCGGCAGCAGTCATATACTAGAGAGAACCAAAGAAAAATGCAGGTGAACTTGAGATTGCAATCAGCGAGAAAAGTAGGTATCACATGAAACTGCTTTAAATGTGTAGCCCACAGCCAGTGCGTTATTACACTCTATGTCCACCAACAACGGGGCAGTTCCTATCAGCAGAGAATGGGCTTGGCTTGCTGAGTCAGCATGAGCAGCAGCCTACTACCTCCACTGTACCGGTGCAGTATCGTCCCCCTTCCCTCACTCTGTCTTTGTAGCCGTTCTATCTTAGATTCCCACCATGGCAGTTTCATGTCTAAAACATACATTCCATAAGGGCAGGGAGGATGTCTGTCTTTTTTTCCTTCTCATTTTATTGCTAGCACCTATCACACAGTAGGCTCTCAACGAATCATTTGTTGAATGAATGAATCATCAGATTGTTAGCGATCATTTCTTTTCTAACTAAAAAAAGAAAAAAGAAAAATACAGGAATAACGCAAGCGATGCACATGTAGCAGTATTCAGAGTTGGCGCATGTTCTCATTTTGTCATTCTCCTATCACTTTTTTAGGTGCAAAAGAAATAGTATTACAGATAATGACAAAGTCTCCTTTGTGCTCTCGCCCCCCCTTTCCACGCTCATGTCACTGGCAGTATTTTTCTTTTCAACTCCTTTAATTCTCTAAATGTTCTTCATCTGGATGGACAATGAAACCGTCAAACCATTTTTCACTAAGTTGTAGTTTTCGGTAAACCATGCGTTGGGAGTAATAACCTGCGGTTTTGCATTGCAGAAAGGGAGCCCCAGGAAAATTACTTGCTCACCCACATAAGCCAAATTCCATATTCCCATGTCTAATGCCTATCTCCCCATGCAAATTCAACATTCTACTCTTTGAGAATAGAATTTTCTGTGGAATCAGCTGTATTCCTGAGCTTCTAAACTTGACCAACGTCACAAAACGTCAGAACCAGTATCATCTACTGAAGACAAATTTTCTCCATTCACGAAGGTTAGAGACACGATTTTGATGGAAAACTGCAAGCCTCTGCTACTTTATTCTTCTAAATTTGCTAAGTTCAAACACAAATGCCAAGCATCAATATGCAAAACCTAAATTACTATGTTTTGTGTATCCTGGTCCTTTCAGTGTGCAAGCGACGTAATGGTTCTGAATCAAGGGGAATATCTGAATGGAGATGAGCTCATCAGTTGTTCAGTTGTTGGTGTTGTTGGTCCGTATTCATGGAGAATGACAGCAAGTAAGCAGCTCTGGAATAAATGTATTTCCATCCTAAACTAAAAACTGTCTTACTGTATCTACTTGCTAAAAATAGAGACAGGCTTAATGAAACAACCCTAAATCAAACAAACCAAACTGTTGTCTATTGTCCACATGTAGCAACTAATAACTGGGTAACACTAATGACAACTAAGTTCAATTCCAATCTATATTAAAAAAAAACAAACAAAACAAAATAAAAAAAACAACAAAAAAACTTGTCACTTGGACTAAGAGCAACTATTTGAATGGCCTGGAGATATTACTAATTTCGGTTTACACTTAAAAATCACCAGAGATTTCTATGTATTATCTCCTGTGTTCTCACAGCAGCCATCAATTTTCTACTGAAATTGTCCAGACTGTCATCTCCTTAAAGGCACGGGCCAAACTCTTCATGTCTCTGTATCTTCCAACACACCATGCCATGCCTGATACTCAATAAATAATTGTTCAATGGCTGAAGAAAAACTTGCAAGAAGAAAGCCTTCCATTTCCAGTTACAAATCTTGCACTCCTTTAGCTGTTAATAATTCTGAGCTCACTGTAGATAGTAATTTCATCACCCCTATAGTTCATTTGTATAACCTTTAAACATATACTTTAGCCAACTCTGCTCATTATTGTCCTTGTGTCTTAAAGCAGACATAAGTACTCAGGTATCTGATTGCTATCAATTTTTCAAATAAGTATAGAACCCGGGAGTCACCTTTCAGCAAATATATTCCACATCTAGAGCTCTATGGCAGGTGTCTGCCTTGCTAACAAAACTGCTCTAGGAGGTATTTTGGGGATAACAGTTCAGATAGGTGTTTTGCTTATATTATATAGGTTATTAAAATCCTTTGAGCATTTTCTATAATGTATTATTTTTGAATGGTAGCTCAGCTGAGAAAAGAGCTGTGTTCTAGTGCATTCTGGCAAATGCTGCAGAATGTATCTTCTTTTGTGATATTGACATACAATAAAAACTGAGAAGTCAAGTTTTATAGCAGCCTATTTAAAGATGATTAAGGGGTGCCTGGGTGGCTCAGTCGTTAAGCGTCTGCCTTCGGCTCAGGTCATGATCCCCGGGTCCTGGGATCGAGCCCCACATCTGGCTCCCTGCTCCGCGGGAAACCTGCTTCTCCCTCTCCCACTCCCCCTGCTTGTGTTCCCTCTCTCACTGTGTCTCTGTCAAATAAATAAATAAAATCTTCAAAAAAAAAAAGATGATTAAGCCACCATTCCTTCCTTCCCTCCTTCCTTCCTTCCTTCCTTCCTTGCTTCCTTCCTTCCTTCTGGTAGCATCTACTAATTTTGCTTAGAACTAGTTGCTGGAGGGGAGGCGGGTCGGGGGATGGGGTGGCTGGGTGATGGACACTGGGAAGGGTATGTGTTGTTGTGAGCGCTGGGTGTTGTGTGAGACTGATGAATCACAGACCGGTACCCCTGAAACAAATAATACATTATATGTTAATTAAAAAAAAAGAATAGTGCTCTAAGGAGCATACTATGGAAAATGCTTCTCTAATTGAATCTTGAAAGCCTTAGTAGATTTTTAGCAAGGGGGAATATATTTTTGCCAACTATGAATTTATGTAAGCCCAGAGCTGATTCTATTGGGGCTCATGTTCTACTTTCTGGTCATGGTTTTCCAAGACTTATAATGTACTAGTAAAAGAATACATTGATTTGAGTATTTTCTATTCCAAAGTTAGTAATTCCAAACTTTGCAACTGGGTCTAATAAGTGAGAGTGTATCCTTTGCCTGAGAATATGATACCACTGGTACTTACCTATAGGACACTACTTTGATCTGTCTGCATCCCTCAGGAGCCATTTCTGTGAGTTTTAAGTAGGGGCATGGCCTGGGTCACTCAGAGCAACACTCACTGGTTCTCTAGTTCACTAGTTCACCAACCTCCCTGGCCAAACTAGAGTTCTCAGACAGTGTAGTTAATGAAAAGCATTTTATGTGATTCTTAGCTAATCTTCTTCAAATAACTCTGACTTAATTCAAACCCTCATCTGTGTTTTGTCCAGTAGAACTGAATCAGCATATTTTCACAACTTCCAAGACATTCAGTGAAGTTGTAAACATGGCCCAGACTGAACTGCTTATGGCACAAATTCATACTCCTCTTTAGAACAATGCCGTGAGCTAGGAAGGACGGCTCACCCATTTTACAGATTGAGATAAGATCCCGTGTAATAGGAATAAACTTCTGTTCTTCTGACCCATGACTGAGGACACTTTTCAGTCTACTTCTTTATCTTTGAAATTAAGTAAATAAGGTCTTAAGACTTTCCTTTAGATTGTTTCCATCTAATAAAGATGTCAAGATGGTTGTTGTTGTTGCTGTTAATGGGCTGGAAAAACTGGAGATCCATTTAAGAAACATTTCCATGATATATGCCTTTGGATAATATTTTTATTGCCATTTCATTTCCATGCATTTCTTAAATTTTACTTCAATACTCACAATACCTAAATTTCTTCCAGGAAGACTACCCTATATGCTTAACTTGTTTTACAATTTAACTTACTCTTCTGCTACTCCTCTGAACAGAAGCAAGAGAGATTTTATAGTATTAATGACATCAACTCAGTTTAGTGTGCTGTATCTTTTAATGAAAAAATATATATATATTTCTTTTTTTTCCCCCCTCACAGAAAAGATAATAGAGCTTGAGAACATTGAAAATTAGGGATAGGCTTATTTTAAACAAGTCAATACTGTGGAGCTTTATGCCCCATAAGACTATTATTTCTGGATAAACTTTTGCAATAAAATTCTGCAGTAGTAGACACATATATTCTAGGGTGAAGCCTCCAGAAGTGACAGCTTTGTAAAACTCGGAGCAAATGCTTACAGGAAATGGCTCCAGCTATGGGTAAGATCAACTCCCAGCTTTAGGTAATTGGTGACAAATAACTCTGAACTTTCTCGGCAAGCACAGTTTGATTTCCTTAAGAGCGCAGATAAACTACAGTCAGACTTAATAATCCAGGCTGCACAAACACTGTTTAGATCTGGATGCCTCAGAGACTTCTTTTATTTTATCCAGCTAACAAATGACAAAAGACTAAGAGAATGCCCTGTGATATAAAAATCTGCCCTTTCGGCTTGATAAATTCTGGTGGATTACTTATTAAAACCATATCAAGAATGGATGTATATTCTTTAAGCTAATTTCTTTTATCGGTATGTCTCAAAGGCTAGAAAATATCTGCCACCATTCTTTCATGAGTGCAAATTATTTTGCATTTTTTTGATACAACGGCTGATGAGAACCACATTGTGGTTAGATGATATGGATAAAAGGAGCGTCCATACGATATTTCCTTGTTGGTAGCAACCCAAGGTTTAGGCATGAATGGAGAACTTTTATGGTTTTGGTAAACAGCTTGATTATTTTTACATATTCTAAAAGCACTGGATTTTCACATGTAAGTTCGAAGGAGACCTGAATAGCCATTTTCAAACCCACAGAATAAATTCCAGACTCCATCACTTGTTCCAAGAAGTCTAGACGCTGCATCACCAAGATAGTTACACAAAGACAGAAAAAAAATGGTGAAATTGGAGAGGAATTGTGTTTTTGCCTATTTAAGTCAGGACAAACTGTTTCTGTTACTGTGGAATCATTGATTATTTCAGAGGAAACAAAACTCCACATTTTTACTTCTGGATTTACTTTCTCTTCCCCCACCAAAGCAAAACAAATATGTTTTATATATTTCCTGTGAGGAAATTTT